ACCAAAACCGATTTTTTCGAAAACAGATTTTATTGTAAAAATTACCGTTTTTCCTTAATTTTAATTTTGTTTTTCACGCCGCTTTTGAAATTTTCACTTTTGACCCACGAAAATACCAACTATATTCACTTTCCTATCAAAAAAGCTACTGTTGAAGAAAATCCAAGCACTTTTACTGTCCTAAAACGTGATGACAGACACAAAAAAAAACAATAAAAAATAAAAAAAAACACATCATTGTAAAATCAATACATTCATCGTTTCACTCAGAATCTAAAATCCATGGTCACAATTTTTTTTATAACATTGAAAGTTCAAATATTGACAAAATACATAAAAATGACGGAAATTCCAAATTTAATTTGAGTTAGAAATTCATAAAATATTTTCTTTTTAAATCTAAAATTTTAAAGTGTAATACAAGATTCCTCATAAATTTGTCTACCTTTATCAAAAGAAAAGTGTCTACAAGAAAGTCAAATGAAATTTTTATGAGCACTTGAAATTCATATTTTTACAACATTTGATATTCACTCGATTTCTCATGTAACGATTTCCTTATTTTGTTGTAATTAAAAAATTAATGGCTATAGATACTTGAAAATTTCACTGAATGTTAATATTAGCCTTTTCTATACTTACACCATACAATTTTGAAAATAATTTGACTCTTTTTGACCAGTTTATGGACATTATCAGTTTTATATTTTTTAATTTTTTTTTTCTATAAATATCAATAAAATTTTAGTTGATTGGTAAAAAAGTGAAAACATTTTATACAAGACTCCTGATATATTGTTACATTAGCAGTTGAAAAATATTAAAAATACATGATTTTTTTTTATAAGCATTTAAAGATAGAATTTTGAAAAAATGTATCAAATTTAAAATGTAATAGTTATTTTGTAGTTAAAAATGTATAAAATGTTCAACTTATTGTTAACTAATTAGTTAGTTTAAAATATTATCTCAAGAAGTTTTGTTTTTATAATACTTGCATTATAAAAACCTATCATTCGCATCTATTTTTAGTAAATTATAATTGTTTAATATAAGTACATTATCACTTTATATCTACCTATACAATATATAATATATATCATATTATTATTATTATTATTATCAAACCTGTGGTCTTGGGCTAGAATACGACCATATAGTAACTCCTGCTTATCATAAAGGGAGATAGTTGAGGGCAGCAGTAACTATTACCGACCATTGGCGATTTTCACATTGGGTTTCATAATAATAGATGGCATTGGTGATGGAAGTATGATAAAAGCTTATTTACTGGCTATCGACTGCGATGCAGAAAGTTTCAGGGAAAACTGAGTTTCTGAGGATAGTGACATGATGGATACAGTAGATTAAAAATAATTCAGGTAAAATAGTCCCACATTCAGATCTCTGGATGGGCGGGATAAACACACTACAAATTTTTATCAAAGGAGAAGCTTAAAGACAGGAAAATAAAAATACTTAGGTACTATACTTATTACTTTGCATATAAATGCTTTAGCACCAACTTCTGGTTCATTTGGTATGTGGTTGTGTTCAACTACATCTCATCATTATCTTTAGTGTATGTCCTTCCACGTGTCGCGACACTTATCAGTAAAATGTTTTATCTATTCCCGATATATCTAACATTTTTTGTAAAATATTTTTCAAACACATAGCACTGTCAAATATTTTCCTTTAGAACTTGGTACTTACTCTAAAGTCCAAAGCCATAATAAATACCTATTGTGTTAATAAAAAAAAAAATAACTAGTACAACTTGAATAAACAAAATTATAGGGTATATCAATAGGTAGTCAATAAATCTAGATTATCTAGATACTAATAATAAATACTGATAAAAAAATAGCTTAGATTTATTGAAAATATTTAATATGTTGGATTTTATATTTTTATATTTTTTTTATTTTAGAACTTTCAGCTGATAGCTATTACAGTTCAACAATTATTTAATAATATAGGAGGCAAAGGTAACAAATTAAGATAAGATACAATAGTCCCGATGGACTGTACAATACATGATAACAAAAGGCAATTAAATTAAGATATTAGATAGTGAATTAAATATGAAATGGTGAAAACATTTTTATTAGAGATTTTATATTTTACATTTTATAATTTGAAAGTGAACTGGACTGTGATGTGACCAATAACCAGTGAGTACAAGTGTGCGGTGTGGTACCTACTGTGGTCACGATTTAATATTTCTTAAATCGTGGGGGTTGTGTACAACATTTAAAAATTATCATACTCTCTGGACTGTGAATAGAAAAAACCACCAAAACGTTCAATACACAAAACACAATATCAGATAATAAGACATATTCGCTAAATATTATAATATATAATTTAAATATTTATGTTCCGTTTCCACTGTTGATTATTGTTGACCATAGACACATGTTTTGATTGACATTAATAGTTCGTACTTATTACTTACTATAGTTAGTGTAGTTACAGTGTACTTTGTTAAGTCTTGCATAATGTATACTACAACCTGATGTAACATTTTGTATTAACTATTTGGAAAATTTGTTTACAGTTAATACTTCAGAATCAGACCTGTGACATTCAAATATCTGAATATTTATTCCCCCCCTCCTCACACAATATAGTATGTGAATCCGCATGAAAAAATATTGACTCTGCAAATCAGTTAGTGGTTGCCCTAGTCTAACAAAAACCGAACGCCACTGCATTGAACCAATCTAAGGATTGTAAAAATAAATATATTTTTATTCATATGTTTTAGATTAAATTTTTTTGAATAAGATAAAAATGATGATTTATTTTTAAAGGTATTACAACTTAATTGAAATTAAAATAGATTTTTGGAAATTATTGATAGTTTTTTAATAAGTTTAAATCCGGGCTCTACTCCAGCTAAATAATTCACTGTCTATAGACAATATATTCGTTCAAAATTCGATTTTTATATATCAAATGATTATCAGAAAAGTATTCTTACTGAAATAAAAATAATAATAAAGATTGAAAATGTAGTTTTTTAAACAATGTTTTTCTTTTCGAGATATAGAGGATTTACTGTTATAAAATTAACACTCAATGTATTGCATTGAACTATTTAAGTACAACGATTGCGTAATTTTGTTTTATAGGATATTTATATATTTTCATACAAGAAATATGATGAACATTTGCAGATTATCTTGAAAATCACATTTAATACTCTCTCCTCACCAATAAAGCGACTATACTAAGGCATCAGGATTCTACTGTTGGAAATTGAGAGGCGACATTTCAAAACGTACTATTTCCAAAATTGACAAAATTGAGTTATACATGGGTTCGTATGTAAAAATGGCCAAGGAATCGAATGGCGTTGTCAAATTGAACCAAAACGTACTATTTCCCTTGTTAAATAGTTTGTTCATTTGACAAATTGACGCAAAACGTACCAATTCCTCAAATTGTACAAAACTTACTATTTCCAAAGTAGACCATATTGTACGACTATTTCCCATAGTACGAAGATAGGGAATATAATTGAGTAAATACATACGTACTATTTCCACTGGTAATTAAAAATAGAAAATCATGATTTCTCAAAAAAGTGTAAAACGGAAATAGTATACGTTTTGAAATGTCGCCCCTCAATTAGGAAAATAATAACAAGTCTGTTTCGGGGGCGTAAATGTAACCTCTTAGAGTCTTATCATCATAATATAATTCGTTCCTCGAGGCCCAAGGAGCGAACTTTCGTATGAAATAAATTAATATTAACAGGCGGAGGTGTTCTGATAAACGTCGGAGTAATATTGAACGCCTTTATAGAAAGAAAGGATATTTTTTATATGGCAAGGTTACTAAAAAAATAATATAATAACAACCAGAAAATCGTTTTAGGTAAATTCTGTATATATTATGATTGAAAATATACACACATAGCTATTATCTCATATATAATATATAAACATGTATAGTATTATATTATACATATAAATTATAATAGTATAGAAAAATAACAATAACTCGATAATTGAAAAACATACAATGTATTATTTAGTGCGATTTTTTGACATCGCAACTTGGCATTATACGTGTTCAAATATATATTTAAAGAGTTAAAAAAAATGTTACATTGTTCATTGGCGCTGACGATAATAAAATAATAATTTACGTAAAAAATAATGATTTTTCTTAAAATGTATTAACTTATATCGTAAACATAATATACTACATAATTTATGATATCTATGCCTATCATAATATACTTATTCTGTTAAAGATGTTATTATTAGTAAAAAAAAAAAAAAAGAAAAGAAAATAATGTACACAACAACCTTACAGGAATAGTTTATAATAATATATTGTTTAAACATACGCGTACGAAAATTTAATAAATAATAATAAAATTCTTTATAATAATAATAATAAATTTAACAATACGGCGTTGGTTTTTGTTTATCATAACATGCAAATTATATCACCGTATCAGTAAAAGTAATTGACATAGTTTTTTTTCTAAGCTCGTCACAATTTCATAATACATACATTATTAAAATAATATACCATATTATGGTAAGTAAAGCTCGATTATTAATTCGGCTGGAGCGCGTTCAAAATCGGTGTAAAGGTAAAATAGAAATAATGATAAAACTAGGTAAATATTATTATAATATAATATGTATCAATAATAATATATAAAACAACATGTGTTGACTACACAAAAATAAAAAGAAAAAGGAAATGATAAAAAATCGTAGGTACATAACAATAATGATGTTTTTATCTTTTATCAGGTGGTTCGCAATCCCGGCGATTATTTCGATTATTCCTATAATATATACAGCACACATTCAAGCGCGTATAAATTTAACCTTTAATTTAATTATTTATCGTTAATTTGTTTTAGTTAAAAAAAAAAAAATTTTAAAAATATATATTGTCGTTCGGCAGCTCAGTCTTTGCGATCGTACAATAGTAGTAAAAACGACGACGGCTGTGAACACCGTCATCTACTCATCGTCTTTGTTGTTGTTTCCGCACTCGGGTTTGAAGTCGACCAAGGCGTGCAATTGTTGAGCACTATAGCTGAAAACAAAAGAAAAAACCACGTATATAAATACTTTTTATTCTCAAATAATTTAATATTGCCGAGATGGTTTTCGTGTCCGCGAGCACTCGTTTATTGTATATATTATTGTATTATAATATAATAGGTACTATCTAATCGGTGTTATTGAATTAAAAATGGGCGAAAAGGAGTTGTGCGACTTGCGAGTCGACTCGTTGGCGGATTTTAAGGGGTGGTCTACCACTGCAATATCCGGATTTACCCTCTCAATCGGCTTTCACGTGAACGAATATTGTTTTATAAGTGTAAGAATAAACATGTTCAACATATATATTTTGTCCGTAGATGCACGCTGCAAGAGACTTTAATATGAACAAACTAATTCAAAGAGTTCAGCAACCCGATTTTAAACATTCCATGTAGCCTACTATAGAGACTGCAGTCTTACACTAATCGCAGAATATTATAAAAAAAATATACGAAACTGTGCAGCCTTAACCTGCAATTGTCTTATATGTACCAGTTGTAGTTTTATATATATATATGTATACACAATTCGTACCCCAAGGCCTAAGTCTCGCTAGAGTCTTATCAATTTAAATTTAGTATAAATTGGGATGAAAAAATAAAATATAATAATTTCGGAAAGGTGGCAGATGTCCACCCCGCGCTAGAAATGTTCGTATATATAATAATCTGTTTAACAAAGACCTACCTACCTATAAGAAGATCACTATCGATATAATAATAGTTTACGTTTCTGTTTTTTGGATACCTATACTTATATTTATTATTTTCGTCAATGTGAAAATGAAAATACTTGGGCACAGGTCGGAAATGATTAGCGAAATGATAAAACGATTCATAAAACCCAACTACATATTATAGCCATTTTAGGTATGTAACGAAAATTTCATAAATCAAAAAGCTCAAATTTGGGCCTCTGAGTGTATATAAATATAATATTATAATGTAAGAAATTTGTCCTTTCCTAAAAAAACAATTAACTAAAACACAGTAACGTAAAAAAGTTAATTACACAAAATGTAACGATTATAGATTAGGAATAGGCGATCGTTTATTTATATAAATATTTGTAAAGATTATAAAAGTTATTAAATTATTTCTACAAACAAGTTATTTTTACTTTAAGTTATTAGGAGTTTTTTTTTCACGAACAAATAATATGACTGCCAGTTGGACAGTATACTTAATATGTATAGTTAATTAAAATAGCCACCTGCCAAGGTCAAAAACGTAATAAAAATGATGGTTTAGTCTTTAGTCTACACTTAATTTTATTTTTATTTAACAGCAAACGCCAACCCCTTAAAAAATAATTCTAGCATATTCCCATTAAAAACTATATGCTCAGTTCCTAAGTTAAATGCGAAAAAAATCACTAGGCCGCTGAAGCTGCACAGGGTCGTCGGTCTATCTATCTATCAAGATTTCGGTGGTTGTTCAGAGTTTGCGACTTTATAGTCGATCTATATAATATATTATATACAATCTGTGGGCCTCATATACAACGCGTGTCTATTAATATATTATTTACTTACCCGAGAAGGCTTTCGAGATCGCAAACAAATTTGTACACATATCGTTTGCCGGCCGTCTTGTGTATGATGTTCTTGTCGTAATAATACCTAAGACCACGGCTCAGCTTTTCGTAGTTCATTTTTGGCTTGTTCTTGCGCACGCCCCATCTGCGGGCCACCTCGTCCGGGTCTGTAAGTTTGAATTCCCAGTCGTCGCCCGTCCAGGAAATGAACGCCTTACAGGCGCGATCGGTCAATAGCTCCAACAAGAACTGCCACAACTGTATGGGTCCACTGCCGGTGAAACAAGGACCGCCGTCTGTAACGAAACCAGTTCATATTATATTATAATACATTGTATATACATGCAGTGCATGCCGAGTTAAGTTTTATAGGTATATTCGAGATGAATTTTCAGGGACTTAAACGTGTTTTTTTTAAACACCCGAGAAAGCTTCAAATTGGCCCAACCGTCTAAAAAATGTTTGACTTCAATAATACGGTATAGCAAATTATAATTTGTCTTAGCATATCTGAACGGGTAGTTAATTTTAGTACCAGAATAGATGGGAAAAATGGACATAAAACGATAATTTCATAAATTAATCTATGTGTATATTATGTATATGTGTGTCTCGTATAAAATATAATATAGACTTTTGCAAAGGGCCCGCAGAGTCCTATATTACACGACAGTAACGACTACGCCCCTCACCATTGCAATTTTTTTAGTCTGCACAAGTCGACTGAATACATAGACGAGCAACGCGTATTATACACGACAAACACGCAACAAATAATATGTCTACCACACAATTATACGCTTATATTTTCACGTGTGTTTGTTTAAGAAGAACAAACGTCGAAGAAATGTCTTGGAACTATGAGCATGAACATGCATTATATTATGGTATATTATTATACTGTATAATAGCATTGCGTAGGCACAGCCGTCGTTATATAACACGATGTTATAATAGAGGCACGCGAAAAGGACGGGGCACTGGACCGCGGACAGCAGTCGTAATGTCAGTGAGCCATAATCATGACGTGTTAGATCCCTCAAAACAACTAGGCCGTTTTTCAAATATAATATTATATAAAGATAAAAATAATTAAATATCGAACACCAGGGACCCACCACGTTAAGTTTAGAGTGGCACAGTGGAATGGTATGTATAAGTATATAGTTCAGGTAAGTCTATTAGCTTACAAAAGTTGTGCTGAATTCAAGTATATTAATGATATTTAAATATTAATTATAGTACTTTGATTTAGGGTTTTTTAAAAACCGTATAAAGAACCACCTCTCGGTATATAGTAATGGAAAAAAAACGACGTGTTCACTATTAAACCTGAAGAACACGTCTTTATTACATCGTGTAATCATTTTTGAATTTTCAAAATCTCTAATAAAAAAAATGCTATATTTGTTTTAAAATTTGTTATTCTTATGTGTTTCAAACTTGAATAACTTTTAGCAAATACCGTATCAAAAAAATAAAAAATATATTGCTGCAAAATAGCAAAAGATGGTGAAAATTAAGTTTCTTATCTATAATAGTATAACTATATGAGCCTATTTTTAATTATATTATGTTATACACGGCCTATATAGTAATTATTAGTAATTAGGCTACAACTATCTATCAGAGGTAAGACCACTCATAAGTTACTTTGAAACTAATGTTTAAATATAATATTATATTCAAAGATTTGTTTTTTCTTAATGTTTCATTATTGCCTATATAAAACCCCTTAAAAAGACATCATCCCTTAGTAAATAATTGCAGTAACAAAAACTGATAATTTATGCATGAATTTATTGGAAACAAAATAAAAGAGAGATGCAGTAATATAAAAAAATGTGAGTACCCAAATATTTGTTTTGTATTTTATATTTCTAATTAATTAGGATATAATTAGAAGGGGAACGCTAAAATATTTTTTTTTTAAGTGGTACTCCGTCCCATCCAATTCAATCATTGAATACAATATAAACTATAAACCATGTAGTTATATTATTTATATGATAAAATTGAGAACCATATTATGCAACAAACAACGTTTAAGTAAATATTAGTTAAATTGTCAAACGCTGTCCCTAAAAAAGCACAGTTTAAATACAAACAGTTACTTACTTGGCGTATAACCGGTTATGAGCGGGGGAGCTTGTAACTGCAAACACGGTTTTATGTCGACCGACATATTGTTGTTGCCACCACCGGGCACCATCAAATGGTGCTGCTGCTGGTGCTGCTGTTGAACGTGCGGATTGTTGTTATTGTAATGGTGATGATGGAGGTGTTGCTGCTGCTGCTGTTGTTGGTGATGGTGCTGTTGTTGCTGCTGTTGATGGCCGTGATGATGCTGTTGCTGTTGCTGTTGCTGCTGCTGCTGCTGCTGTTGCTGTTGCTGTTGATATTGCTGTTGTTGCTGGTGCATGAACTGCAATTGCAGCGCTGAATCGGCACCGGCCGCAGCTGCGGCGGCTGCCCAGTGATCGACCGCGGCCAGTGCAGCGGCCGCTGTGGCCGCGGAGGTCTGATGATTCGGCCCGGTTGTGGTAGAAGCACCGTTGGGCACGGTTTGCGCGGCTGACTGGGACGGCGGCACCGAATTGCTGGCTGTCAGATAAGGCGACGTAGTACCACCGCCGGCGTCCAAGTACGGACTGCCACTGGTCGTCGGGTACGGTTGCTGTTCGCCGGTGTAGTTGTCCTGTTGCTGTTGCTGCTGCTGTATGTACCGGTGATCTGTAACGTAATTTTAGTTTGAAATTAGATATCACGTATTTTTTAGCTGAAAAACATTACTACATAGGCACTATGTAGTGCACTGGCACTGCACAGGTGGGATAGTAACGATACGAGTAATGGAACTATAGGTACTGTATATATTATTATAGTTAACTATATATAGATAATAATAGGCAAAAACTAGTTTCAAAACAAGCTGAGTGATGTATAGCAGTAACAGTGGCGTAATTACGAATTTGGTTTGAGGGGGGGATATACGTTTTTAGCAAACATTAATGGCCATTACAAATACTTTGATCAAAATGTTAGCAGTCAAACAAACGTTTTGGGGGGGATCCCCCTAATCACCAACTGATTGCGCCCCTGAGTAGTAGTTGTTTTAAGAGACGATAACTATATCGTGTAGGGCCGGAGGTTCACAGCTACGTCGTCTTTCGTATCATGTCTAAACGTCAAGCTCGGCCCAACTCTGAGAATTTCCCGGTAGATCGTGGTTAGTGAATAATATCATGATTAATACGACCAATTAGACAACGATAAAAGGCACACGACACGACTGACGACGTAGCTGTGAAACCGTCTTAAATATATAATATATGGTGCATAAACAGACCATATACCAAATACCTGGTATTTTATATATAATATATACCTATTACACATTTACTGTTTTGTTTTTACGATCCCCCCCCATAATTATATGTAATCTAACTATATAATATTATATTACATTAATACCCATCGGGTAACTCGTCACTGTCCTTAATAAAACTCCACAATATATTACAGGACGATCTTATCCCGCTGTCGTATAATATATAATAATTTAATATAATACGCCATTACTGTTTAATAGTTAATATCATATATCTACTATACATCATACAACAGTTTTTCTGTTAATTTAAAGTTTCGTATTGAGCTGGTACTCCATCTTATATTGTGTATACGAGCGCGAGCGCGTGGTGCTGCAGCAGGTACCATTATAAGAGGTTGTAACCGCGAACACGGTCGGACACGAAAGAGTGTTTATATTCTGGACACAGGATGAGGGCGTGGTTTAATATGACTGCTGCTGCTGAAGAAGCGAATTATATATGTACACATAAACGTATTTTATGATGATTTTTGGGCAGGGCAGAGTATAAATAATAAGTTTACGCTCACACACACAAGTCGTGTATAATGTACATCATATAGGCGTCGGAGGGGAGGGGAAGAAAGAACGCTTAAGCAAACCGTGACGCGCGCGACTAGACAATAGACCGCGGTGTATAAATATATAATATAATATAATTTATTGCCGTATATATATATGGGTACTCTCCTGCTTTTTTAGCGATGACGATTAAAAAACTTTATTCACGTTGTATTACGCGCACTAGCTCGTTATTGTATTGTTCTACGATACAATACAATATACCTATATATATATATATATTATATTATATGGTTGGCCGTGTTCGGCTACGACCAATTATGAGTAGTTCGCGTGACCCCTCGTATACAACGCACACAATATCGTGTATAAGCGCGTTACACTGATTCAAATTATACTATAGGAACGTCAATCGTATAATATATAACAATCGTAAAAAAATCTAGTCACATGCGTTTTCCGAGCAGCGATCTTTATAGTATGAATCCTGACGAGGTCAATCAAAAAAATTGGCTTCACGTTTGTATTGAAAATATATATTTTATATAGTACATACTACGCTACAGGGACGTAAAGTTGAGTTATCCGTGATTATACTTTTAAAATTTTGTTTAATGGAAGGTTCACTGTATTATGAAATTGTTAAGAATGGAACTATTTCAATTTCATCAATTGTATTAAATTGATAAATGCGCATTACCCTAATGCGAATTAAAAAGGCGTTTATATATGCACATATAACTCTCGAATTAACGGCTTATAATAATCGAATGTATTTAATAACAATTGCATAATGTAAACGTGTTACATAATAAACTATAGGTATACCGTATACATACCACTAAAATATTTAGGATACTTGATATTGGTAAAAATATTAAATAGTACATTATAATATTTTCTGTATAATATAATAATTATAATTTATAACTCTTTATCTGTTGCTTAATAAACTACGACGATTATGGGATGACTTTTATTTTAACGTATGTTTCCGCTTATAGTCCGTCGGTATAGGTATATCCATAGACATAAAACGTAATAATATATATATATCTATATTATTTAGTCTTATATTTTATGTCTATGGGTATATCTTATCGGTTATCGAAAACATTCGTACGTGTAAATCATGATAAAACATACACATAATATTATAGAAGGTGATTCACCCAAGTCGCCACCTCTATTTTTATTTTAATAATGAATTTAATCAAATTTGAATTTTAAATTATACCATAATATATTAGTCATTAGTGATAAAGTCATAAAATACGCAACCACCTGTTTTTCTTGTGACTTAATCGGGAAAGAGCTTAAAAGAAAAAATCCCTATCAGAGATCTGTTATGGGAGAGATAGTGACTAAATCGTTAGTCATCAATACGACAATACATATAAGTTTATGTATTTTAAATAATAGTTATCACCAGGAAAAGTAGAACGAGTTTATACGTAACCTACTTGTGTTAAAATAATAGTACATAGGTAGTTTAAACATTTTTTTTCAACCCCCAACCATACGCACCATATTTTAATTTCTCTAAAACTTGTCTGTGACTTGCAATACTTATACTATGATGTATTAATATATTATACTATCGTAGTGAATTATATGCAATATGCCGGTTATATATTTTATGCGATAATCGATATAACATAATATATTATTAAAGTCTATATTGTAAATCATCACAAAAAAATTTTAAGAAAAAGTTCAAGGGGACCTCGGCACCCCCTCACCACTGAGTGCCTATATATATTATTCAAGAATTATGTTGCTGCAGTAAATAAGATTATCTGTTTTCAAATTATACCTACTTGATTTTTAACTCAGATTCTAAGACATATTATGTATTTATGTATATTAAATATTATTTTAATCGTCCATATTAGTCTTTAAAACTACTATTTTATTAAATAAAATACGTTTTGTACAACGCCAACGACTTAAAAATTTAAAATCATGTTGAACTGTGTATTTATGCGTAAGACATGATTTATTTTTATTTTTATTCGACAATGCCACTTTAGCTATAGTTAGTTTTAACATTTTAGAACTTGAGAATGATACGCAGTGTGTGTAATCTCACTGTACGAAGTAATAATAAAGCACGAAGTTTTCTATCGCGTTTCTTAATGTGCTGGTTTTCCAGACAACTACGTTTTATCTAAAGCGTTATCTAAGAGTCTATTATAATCATCATAGTAAAATAACAGATATATTGCACTAACGATAATCGTATATCAATGCTACAAAATGCTGAAATCATAATATGTGGGTAGTATACCTACTATATTATATACGACATACGTAGATACAAATTGTATAATTGTTTCGGAGTATATAGTATTCGAAAAATAGGAACACTGAGTATATTGATCTCTAATATAATATACTGATTCTCTGTTTATGCCAGTTTTGCACCCGTACACTTTTGTACACGGAAATCTGGTCCATTTTTACCGAATACCACGTATGTACAATCATCTATTATGATATACAATATACTATTATACCACACTCACTGGCTCTGTGCTGTTGCTGGTGGTGATAGTCCCTCTGCTGCTGGTATCTGTTTTGCTGCTGTTGCTGCATCAGCTGTTGCTGTTGCTGCTGCTGGATCAGAGGTATGGCGGTCGGCTGCGGAGCTGGCGGTTGTTGCGGATAGAGATCCGGAGGCGACGATACCGTCGACTCCATGGCGTTGTCGCCGCCGCCCGTCACCATCAAACCAGCACCAGATATGTTGTTGTCCGGGGTAGTAGAACCGCTGCCGCCGGTCTGGCTGGGCGGCGTGGTGGTGCCTATGCTCGTCGAGTAGGCGATCCCTGCGAACAACAAACGAACAACGTTATAATGACATTACAGGCGTAACGACAATAACGTTCGTACGACGACAACGACGAGTCCGATGGATTACAAACGTCGCTCGTCCTCTTCCGTTCGTCCGCGCACGCACACGAGCGCACGTATCGCGTACGTGTGCGTTAAATTACTCGAAAATGTAAAATAATTATTTTACGATATTCTATTATTATTATTATTATTATTATATTGCCCATTGAGTAGTTTTTTGAACGGCCATTGTGATTGCGCCGAGTAGAAAAATCACAAATAGAGGTGTATAATATAAAATGTGTATATATATATATATAAATGCAAATGTACTGGGGCATGTATAAATATATAATAATAACGATATAATATGAAACAATGCCCGCGTATATAGGTAGTGGTCGTCGCAGTACATATATATATTTATAGTTATATGCATAGACACTTTTTTGCGGAGAGGGGATAATTATGACCACCATAAACATAATAATAATATTATTATTATTATATGATGTGTACAACATAATAATATAATGTACCCGATGTTAATGGTTGATAGGCTACATTATGTATAGAGACGCGCCGTATATATAATATTTTGATATATACCTAAATATATAATATATATATGTACAATAATAAAGGGGGAGCTGCGGAAAGTCACGGTCATCGCCGCCGCCGAGCCATTATAATATTATTTTAAAATCGTTGCCACTGCACCGGGCACAAGTACCCACGGTATTATATAGGCATACACACCGCGCGATATCCTGCAAGCACATGCCCCGTCCTCGGATATATTATATAACATCGCGATCGCGACGAGGAAATAAAATATTAATAAAAAATATAATAATATATACACATAGTTATTATGCTGTGATCCGAATGAATGTGTGCTGCGGTGTATAGTATATGTGAGCATATATAGGCGTACACAAGGTATATATACCTACAATTATATCTACACTGTGAAATACATATAATATATTATGGTCGACGACACGTATGCTTAATTATTGTATATATCCATAGTTTACCGCACGCAGAATACCAATAAGTTTGTGCCTATATTATATACATGTATGCATGTAAAGCGCAGTAGGTAGGTATACAAATACGCTAACCGTTTATATATACAGAGGTGTGTATATATATATTTGTTATATAAATATAATGTGTGCGCGATACTATAAAACAATGGTTTATATACTATATATAGGTATATATGTCATAATATAATATAAAACTCTATACAAACGCGAGACGATATATCTATATATGACATGTATAAGTTTATGTATTAAATATGCACCGCATAATGTAATAATGATGTATATATGAGGTCCATTTTTTTCTATTATGATAAATCAAAACCATACTAGTAGATACCTACTGATGTTTCGACATCAATATGTTATTGTTGATTGTCTGCGATTGGGTGTGTTTTATAATATACTTTATAATATATTATATGGTGACAATAAATAGGCGCAGGCACGGTGGTCGAGGCATTATCAGAATTTTAAATTAACAAAAACAAACGTATACACATATAATCACAAAGACACTTGATACAATTATATACATATTGCGTATAATCAACAATCTCCGATATTCATAACGTCAAATTCAACTATCACGAAACACACACATACCTACCTATATGGCTATATGTATATAGGTATATTTATAAACACGGGACATATACTTCCTTGAGGAATGCGTAGTGATTATCATTTAAAAATTATTAGATTTATGAACACGTTACACGTATATATAAATATGTCAATAGGCATACCTAGGTTTAGCTAGGTATATGTTTATTAGTACCTATACTATATCTAGCTTTTAAATTTGAAATGAATCAAATAGGTATCTAAAAAATATTCTAAGTTTCGAAATCGTGGGTCATATATAGTATTTATAATATGGTATACATAATATTGAATGATAAAGGTACATAAAACAAAATTATTAATCTATCATAATATGATACGGATCTATAAATCACAAAACTAGGTATACAAATACAATACACCTAATATATTATTAATTATTATACTGCGGAATACAATATAATATTGTATGTGGGTATATTTTCGGTTATATTTTATAACGAATACCGCGAACTGTGAAAATAACTATTCTGAATTTCTGATTGGATATTAGGATTAAATGAGAATAAATAAATAAAAGTAAACCTTCAGTTTGGATTTCGAATCGTAGCTCAAAATTAAACGGGTACCTACCTTGAACAAAAGCAAAATACCGTAAAATCAATTTCTGCAGAATCGCAAGGTTAAAAAACCTAGTATATCTATAGGTATCTAAATTAATAATGATTTCGATGATCATAAGTTTTTTCGCGAAATACGAAAACCTCGAGGGAAAACGGATTTGCAGGAAAAAAATGTGGTAAAACGAATGATCAACATCGCGAGACATTTATATTATTATTTTAATCATTTATTCGCTCTGATTAGAATATAAAAACGATTTTAATTATTTACCTGGCTATTATATATATACACAATCATACCCATCATATATATATATATATTTATACCTACCTACACCGAGCAGGGTAAAACGGTAACAGTTGATTAGAAAACCATTTGATTTGGTAATTGTTCATGCGCACAAAATATACAGGCATCATCGTGCTGCACCGTGTACCTATATCGTATAATATATAATATACGCATCGCTCGAGCGTCGTTTTGCACATCAGGTCGAAATCGATTCCAAAATGGCTACGTAAAAAAATACATAATGTCGTCTCGATTCTTTTTTTTCATAGGTACCTATGTACTTTATTTTAATTCACGGTTATTGTTGTTTTCTATGGCGTAGTAGCACAGCGCTGCAGTATACGCGATTCGTTGGACCGAATCGTTGATTTTTTTTTTTTCTCCACCGTGTCGAAATTTATCATTTAGTCATTGTGTATGTGATGGGTTGGGTGCGGCGGTGAAAAATCGGTGTAAAAAAATCATCGGTGTGTAAAGTTAAAGCAGATAGGCCCGGAAGTGAGTTGTTCGACGACGATGACGACGACGACGACTATATACTACAATAAAATATACTGCTGCCGAGTGGGGTGGGCGCTGTGCAGTGATTGGTTGGTCGTTGTGCGACGCCTACTCGCCGCCCGACTAAACACGCGGGCTGATGTACATAAAATATTATATACGCAGTGCAGGACCGATACATTAACTATAATAATATATATACTAACGCACACAGCACACATATATTTATATATAATATGTGTATTATATTATATTGGAAAACCTGAAAGTATTGTATTGTTACGATATGTATTGCACGCGGCTGTATACATATGCTGCAGGGCGGCGATGATATATATAGCTGCAGGTATGTATAATTTGGACCATTTACATATAGCGAAGCCTTTTATATACAACGGGGTGGAGAAAAATTTCCGAAATATCATCACATCTTCTAAAATGTAATAGATAAAAAGGGTTGGTAAAATCTACTGCCTAGGTATATATGACACGATGTATGGAGACTGCGGTCTGCGATAATATATACCCTTCCTGTGGCGAGTTGAACTATAATTAATCACTCCAGGCCCCAGGGTTGTGCTACATGAAAAGTGCGACTCGGCTCGATATTAGCCCCACCCATATAATATAACACGGTATAAATCCGTCGTGTGCCTCATTATACGGCGATTTTGCGCAGGTAAGATGTTTTCGATGCTAAATACAAATTGCCGGCCATGGTCTATACAGGTATAACAATGCAGAAACATGCAGAAACTCTACTGTACATTGTATTATATTGTATCGAATTTTCACGGGCCCTAAAATTGGTTTGCACCCCGGAAATAATATCGTCACCCGCTGTTTCTGAGGTAAGAATTGTGTTATTATTATTGGCAAACGTCGAGGCGGCCGTCCGCCCTTTGAAATAAAATCTGAGCACGTACGTACCACGCGTCACACTGTCGGGGGGCATCGTCGCCGTAGTATAATATTCTAGGAGCTCTGCGGGCGCACACGTGTCTCACACGGCATGGCGTTTATTGAATATCAATATCGGTCGAGCAGTTTTTAAAGCATTAATCGAGAAAAAAAACGACAGTGACGCGTGTGCAGTGTGCACAGTACCTACCTAAAACAAATTTATTAAAAAACACGCGATCGGACGGATTAATTTTTTTTTTTTTAAATTTCAAACTACCCGTTACCCGTTATAATACGCCTATATATAATAGGTATATAGGTATATTATTATTATCAACACCTAAGACAAAACCAAAAAAATAACCGAAAGAAGGGAAAAAGACGTTACGAATATTGGCCGTTTATTAATCATATACACGTGCAGGGGAGACCGACGACCAGCCGTCGACGTCGTAGTCGTTATCCAAAAGTAACGACAGAAGCCTGCAGGAGCAGCAGGTGTTTATATATAATATACTATATACATAACAGTAGACATACGTTTAGCTTAGGTACCTACAAGTCTCCGGCGATTAAGCACGTGTATAATATGTTGTATCTATATAGACAATGTCATATGTAGGACGTACCTAGGTAAACGATGACGAGCTTATAATAATATTAGGGTAGGTATACATATTATTATACCACGTACATAATATATAGGTATACCTACAATGTAATGTCAAACAACAATACAAAATATAATAAACACTATTTTAAAATACCGTTTCCGGCCAAAATGTATATTGTGAATTTTGATGTGTCTAAATCAGCTATATGGGCATTTAATATATATATTATATTCATCTTCCGTTTCATCGGCGGACCATAGAATGTGTGAAATATTCCGCCGACAATATTGATGACAACTGTAGATAATAAAAAACACTATATAAAAGGTCAGTAGGTATATCGGTTAGAAGGTACTAAATGGGGTGGAACCGTAGGAGTCGTCCGGTGTGGTACGTACTCGCTAGTTATAAAAATAGCTTGTATTGTTGTTCCTTCCTCTAACGACCCATCAAAAATTGACACAATAAAAAGAAACTAGGTACCAATTCAATCGATATATAGTATACTAATATAGGTGTGCACTATAAGAAGAGGTTGTATTATAATATTATATACGTTATAAAGTGTGAATTAATATAATGGTGGTTTGGAGACACAAAGATGTAGGTATAGCGTATTATTTGGTAGCTATATAACTGTATATACACATAAAATGAATTTTAAAATGTTCGTGCATCGTGCGTTATAGTATATATTTCAACATAGACCGTCTTTCACCCCATGTTATACACTATATTATTGCGACGCACCTGTGACTGCTTGTTGCTCCCGTTTCCGTTGCGGAAACCCTCCTCCGCCTGCTGCACCCATCCGGGCAGTATATACTACATTTTACCCTTGTCTATAATACCATCGTCGCCCTCCTCGAGACGTGACGATTCCTTTCCGAGAAAACTTTTATGCATACGTAGTATAATACATAATATAAAAGCGTTAAACAAAACTCACAAAACAAAAAAACCAAAACTTACATATTTTTGGATCCCTCACAATCAGATTGTATATGTATAATATCTATATGCATAATGATAAAATATATTTGGACAAACGAAACTATTTCCAATATTATACAGATAATCGAGTTCACCAAGAAAACGTTAATAAACTGACTGGCTGGCTGGCTAAAGCCGAGAAACAGCAGGTGGCTATTATGTACAGCCACTATCATCGTCCTACAGCAGCAGCCAGACTACGACGACGCTGCCACACGTATATCTAACAGGTGGCCAACACCAGTCGTCTCGGTGGCACGAGCCACAGCCGTCGAATATAAAAAACAACCTATGTCTTTAATGTGTGTGCGCGCGTATAGGTATATGTGTATATTACACACTCTATCTATCAATTAATTTCACGCATGTTCTTTAACAACGAAAGGAGAAGAAGAGAAAAAAAAGGCGGCTGTTTTTGGTCGTATATACACACGACAGTAGAAATAATAATAAAATAATTGCACGACAGACGAAAGAGCGGCAAAAAATGAATTTATATACATCGCAGTAGGTACCTATCATATTATAAAGTATCGTTATTATTTGACTAAACACACACACATAGAATTATTGCATCGAATTACGAATACTATTGTGAATGTGATTTGACGGGTATAAGTATATCGATAACTCAGCTTGTTATAAATTAGATAATTTCCCGATACAGTATTATGCAAATAAAAGTGTCAAAATTGCGACGAGACGTTAGATCGAAAATCGTATTTTACTATTCCTTTATGATATTAAGCTGTTTAAAATCGAATACGCACACATTCGTCTACAATACAAATCGTGAATCGGTACCTATAAATACTCAATAATAGAATCATTATTTCTAAACCTCCGCGGTGGTATAATTATAAATACATTTTAATATACTATAAACGCGGTATCAAGAGATACACTAATCAAAATCGGTCAAAAAACAAACCTATGCTAGAGCATAATATTAAATTATACATTTTATATGATAGTACCGTTTTTTAGAAAATATCTCCGTCGGTTGCTCGGAATGGACACCGCCATGTCGTCCACTACGGCCGTTGCCGGATGCAGCACCAGATTGTTGTTGTTGTAATGGTGTTGGCTGTTGTACTGGTGGTGATAGGATGTGGACGACGCCCCGGTTGTGGCCGCCGTGACCACGAGATCGTAGTAACCTTCGGCGGTGTCCAGGGCGGCGTTATCGGACGAAGAGGAGCCGGCCGCGGTCGCGCAGCATTGGGTTGGCGAAGACGCCAAGGCCTGTTGCTGGTGGTGGTGGTTCCTGTGGTGCGCCGGGTGTTGCTGTTGGATGATGTGCTGTTGTTGTAGTAGCACCATCATTTGTCGCGTGATATGCCGGTCGACCGCCGGCACGGGACGTTGATGAGACAAGACTCGGTCCGTCGTTATATTGAGCACGAAAAACGAGGGACAAGACGAAAACGGAGCGGAGAGCTGCGGTATTTGCACGCCGAGAGTCAGAAAGAATTTCGGTTTCGGCAATTGTCAAGCGGAAGTCGATTTGGCAAAATTATCGTCACCCTCGGCGACGGGGATTCGAGTAAAAACGAAAAAAATGCGAATACGTTCAGAAGAGCAAAAATAAATAAACAGTCAAGACCGACTACGAAAACACAACAATAATATTAAAATATTATGCTATCGTTTTTTCCGGATGAATAACAACGCGAATGTAAGACGGTGATAAAACGCACAGCGCCCCAGAACACGACAACCGTACTGAAGCGAATGAGCAGCGACTCTACTCCGCAGTCTCGGCCGTGGAGTGCGTGCGCGCGGCGCCCGGCGATACGCGTTTATCCCCACTGCGAGCGAACGAACATCGGCGGCGGGCGGGCCTGTACCCTCCACGCCGCCGCCGCGCCCCTCACAGTCACGGTCGTTTTCCGAGACTCCCGAGATACTTCGACCAACAAAAAAAAAAAAAAAAACGGACTCTTCGAGTATAATAATGTATTATAATACAACGAATACACTCGCGATTCCGCGGTATACGTGCTCGCCGGTAGGTATATTTGTTTGGTACGTCCGATCTTGTATACAATATGTTTTGTACGCGACGAAGAATCGTCTTTCTTGGCGGCACCACTTCCTCTACCTGTCAGCTAATGTATAGATATCATCGGTCTTTTGGCGCTCGTTACAATTCAAAAAAAAAATAATTCAAAAGAAACGAATATTGAGACGACAACTCTATCTTTCATAAAAACGAACTGAAAAACTATAACAGGGGCTGCAGTTGGTGTGCATATAAAACTGCTTTTTATGATTTGCTTAACCATAATAATTTATAAAGTTATATATATGTGACGACTATTAATATTGTTTAAAAAAAAACCACGGTCGTATATCTATTTCACTTAGGTCGGTTGGTATATATCTAGGCACCTATAATAATAATATAATATGTTATATATTATATTATAATTTAACATATTATATTTAAGCACGCGCCGAGTTCGGTTTAATATAGACTCGTCGTGTTATACATTTATAATATCATATGTATTATAATACAACGAATACACACGCGATTCCGCGGTATACGTGCTCGACGGTAGGTATATTTGTTTGGTACGTCCGATCTTGTATACAATATGTTTTGTACGCGACGAAGAATCGTCTTTCTTGTCTGCACCACTTCCTCTACCTGTCTGCAAATGTATAGATATCATCGGTCTTTTGGCGTTCGTTACAATTCAAAAAAATAATAATTCAAACGAAACGAATATTGAGACGACAACTCTATCTTTCATAAAAACGAACTGAAAAACTATGACAGAGGCTGCAGTTGGTGTGCATATAAAACTGTTTTTTTTATGATTTGCTTAACCATAATAATTTATAAAGTTATATACATGTGACGACTATTAATATTGTTTAAAAAAAAACCACGGTCGTATCTATTTCACTTAGGTCGGTTGGTATATATCTAGGCACCTATAATAATAATATGCTGTATATTATATTATAATTTAACATCTATTTAAGCACGCGTCGAGTTCGGTATAATATAGACTCGTCGTGTTATAAATTTATAATATCATATGGACGCTATACATCAGCTCTGTAAAATATTATAATATACTACGCCGCGCGCTCAATTAACAAAACTCATCGTACCCCATGATCTTATTATTCGTAGGTATAATAACATCCGTTAGGCATTAATAATAATAATGTACACACGTTTAAGTCGCTTGTTTAGCAGAGTATATTAGTAGAGTAGGTTCACCTATATAGACGTAAAGGTATTATAAGGAAGTTTCAAAACATTATAATATATATAGTCATATACACCCTTTATACTAGCAGAATAACGTTAAAACTATAATAATATATAGGTATTCGTTGAGTGCACGCTAAAAGGTAGTAATATATAGTTACCAGATGGCTATTTACAAGCATAAAACTAAATTGGAATTATATGTTTGAATATTTCCCCTAAGCAACCCATCGGAATTACACTCAATAACCTATACTATATTAATAATGATGAACATTATAATTTATAATATTTTGAGAATTGAGGAATACAATATGTTATGTTTTAAAAATCATAAATACGTTATTCGAATACGATACATAATATATTTTTCCTTCCTAAAATTGTTTGACTTCGCCCTTTACAAAAAAGTATATATCATAGCAAATTAAACAACTATAGCAAATAAATGTGTCCTGAGCAAGAAAAAAAACTAATACATGAAATTTCAGATGAAACAGTAGGTAACTACCGGAATTTTGTTTAAACTGTTATTAGATGATAACGTTGCGCCTATTATTTAGTAAAAATGATACGAACTCCTTTGGCGTCTTTACAAGTTACTATATAATTATTTAATCATTTATTTACGAAACACACATTTCATGCGCATTTCAAGCTATATAAAATATAGTTGAAGTACATATATGCTATAAAATATTACTTTTACAATATATATCGCGTCTTAATTGTTTTTTTCCATTCAAGACTACTATTACAACTGCTATATACCTACCCGAATATATATATAACTAATAATACAAATATAATATACCAAGGCTGGTAGTAACGCGTTGATGACGGTTCTTGTGTTGTTATACTACTAAGCATATATAGACGTTGGTTTTATATTATTATAGTATAATAGAGTATAGGTAGGTACTCTAGAAGAATAATCGGAACTTCATTTATTGTATTCAAGTTTTCAGAAGAGGAGGAGGAGGAGGTGGTATTGCTTGTTGTACATCCGGTGGGCGTGTAAAATGCGCGAGTCTTGTTCTTCTTAGCCCGTGCTATGCCATGTACCGCTTTTATTCTCGAGTAACTTGAAACCTAAGACGACAAGGACGGGCGTGCCATAACACGCCACCCTTTTGTGTGTGTCATTCATATTTTCTTTTGCGCGCGCGCCAAAAGCATGCAGCTGGGGCAGCTGTACTTTTTTTTAGTAGGTGTAGTTGTTAGGAGAACCGGAACTACCGGGTATACCTATGTAAGAGGAGGAACCTATATACCACCTAGTAGAAGCATTAGCGAAATGGGATTTTAAAACATTTTCGGTGTATAATATAATATTATAATCACGTGCTGAAGTTTGCTTAAGACGACGTCGCGACATACTCATATATGCTGTATGTTATATTGTCTGTTACCGGCGTGGAGTAGCACATAAACTTTATAATACCCGAAAAACGTATGGACGAATTAATCAATACAATAGCGCTCGTTCGATCACACTACATAAATAATATATGTCATCATAATATTATTATAGACATAATAAAGTGATATATATATATATATATATTATTGTATGTATACGACAATACCCAGTATTTGTATAACTGTACAAGTAGTAGGTACATCGCAGTCTCGATACTTGTGCGCAGATGATGGATATATAACCGTGGTCGTGTAGTATATAATAATATAATGACCGTCAAGTGCTCGTCTGCAGTTCTGTTCGGCCAGGTATATCAATGATGGGCCCCCGCGGCGCGGCAGTGGCTGTAATAAATATTGTGATCGCTCGTCTATACGCAGCTAACAACGGGTGGCCGACATAAGTAGCCGTCCCCTCAATAAAATGAAATAAAATTAAATGGGGCCCGGCATTACGCGGTTAAATACCGTTTATAAGCCGAAACTGGCCCAATTAATATTTAATATAAATATATATAATATATACAGTGCGCAACAATACGATTTTTTTTCATTCTGCTCGTCTATATTATTATTATCATGGTAATAAAATAACGCGATGACGTCGTCGACGACAGTATAAGTGCAGTAGCATGCCTACCCTTGATGTGTAATGTGGTCCACACTCGAAGTCTATGTATAATAATAATAATAAGATTTAAACACACACTTATACGCACTGTACAGTTATAGGTATACATAATATACTATATATATATAGGTACGTCGTATGTAAACCTCCCATTCAGACGAAGAATAAAATGAGGTATATTCGTGAAAATAATAATAAATGTAGGTATATAATATAAACGGTATTCCACGTACCTGTTTCATATTGTTGGTTGTGATGGAGATTACGATTACGATGGTTCAGTCGGTGCGGTGGCGATTGCAACCGGATATGCTGTGGTTCGGATGCAGCCGGTACAGGATAGCCGGAAGAGAATAAACCACTGTTGTCGTCCACTTGATGTCTGTGTTGTTGATGTTGCACGAAATTTTCGTGATAGAAATTTGAATTATTGCTATTGCCACTGGTGTTGTTTAACGACGACAAATGTTGATTGCCACCACCAAACATGGGTATTGACGAGGCCCTATCTACGTCTGCAAAAATATAAAACAATATTGTAATTTTTTATTCGTTCTGATAAACATTATGAGCTTCTATATTGATTATGATAAATGGTATATAAATTGTCACATCGAGTACAATGTTTTTATTTATTAGGTATAACATATCGTACGCAGATTAGCAGCGAAATATATATACTAGATTTACATGTATTTCAATTGCGTTTTCCTTAAAGCTATGCAGCGCACCGTTTAAGGGTTAAGAATACAAAATTATACACACGCAAATATGTAGGTCATCGTCGGCTCATATTTTTACGTCACGACCACGATACAGTGCAGTGTTTACATTCAAAGGATATCCTGTCTGCTACGTCACATATTTTATATATACCAACCACCATCACAGACTTAATATATATATATATATATACAGCGGCCATATATAGAGGTTTGTTTACATTCAAAGGATATCCTGCTCACGATACAACTACTGAAACTACGTCACACCAACGGCGGTGGCAAAGCGTTATGGCCGTTTTGCTAAAAGGATGATAGCGGTCAAAGGATATCCTGCTTATTACAACAGAACAGCCTTGGGCTAGCCCCCTTCTAGCGTTCCCCGGCAAGGCCGCGACTGGCCGCAGAGCTTGCGCACACATATCCCGCCGGATAAACACTATTTTTTTCATTTATTTATTTTTTTGTTCCTGTTTTATCCAGCTAGTGGTCGTAACGATGTTATTAGTTGAGTCAGTTTAACTACACTGACTGTACGGGTCGGACGGTCGCGATACGCGCAAATTGCATTTAATTTTTTTTTTCTAGTGACTGTATATTTTATGCAAATGTATAATAATATAATATAAAAATTGTTTTTCTTTTATTCTAATCAATGCTCCTAGTTGTAACAGAATAATTTACTAACACAAAAACGATAACTCTTTTGACATAATATATTTATCTTCAGATATATTATTACAACATTATAATATTGAACGTACAGCGTGATGGCAGCAGGCTACAGCACATTGATATTATTATGGTATCATCGGTATCGTTTATTTATCGGCTTTACAGGAACGCTCGCTGTCAGTATGCGGTAGTGGTTTTATCTACGAACCATTCACTATGCCCAGCACATGTGATAACCGTATACATGAATATATAATAATCGCAAATCGTTCCCTCATCATATTATAATATATGCGCTCTTCTCTCGGGTTCGAAATATTACAGATAATATTGGACATTTGGTCTGATACGCACACACATACATATAAATATGGGTTTAACGTATCCCACGCGACCGCGATATCGTAAATTCATTTCATCATCCGCCCCTGAGTATAATATAATATAATATTATATGTATAATATGTAATAACGTTTTATAATATTATATATTATTACTATGCGATGATGATGTATTTGGTTATAATAAATTAACGATACTTTTCATATTATGCACGTTCGGATTGCTCGAAATTATTTTTTTAATTTTTTTTATCGTCTAAACAATAGCCTATATTATTGTTACACGTATATGTTTAAATTATGATTGTGTACGACCAACCACTTTCAGTGTATATATTATAATGTGATGACCGGAACTACGGTACTGCAGACACGAGGAATTTTTGTCGTTTGGTTCGCACGACACTGCTTTGTACAATAATATAATAATTTCGGATAACATTTATATAACCTGCAGTCACAATAGTTTATAATATTAACACGGCGTAGCACATACTATCGTGTAAGCCGACGTGACGTGATGTCGATTATCGTTATAAACAGTTCAGCAGAAATCGATTATAATTATATCCCAAACCGGAGGGTGGTTCTGGGAAGAAGAGTCGCACCGGTAGCAGAACTAGCTATTTTATTTATATATAATATATCGATTACTAAACTACTATCGAATTCAACTAACATTTCGAGAGCACTCACCTCTTTGCATCATTTCGAGATGTTCCCAGAGGATATCGCCCAAGAACGGCGGCGCCTCGGCCACGAATCGCTCGCGTCCCATATTGCACAAGTGTCTGCCCTTACGGGCGTACAGCGGTCTGTTGCCGCTCGACGACGACACCAGTTCGTCGTACGGCTCGTCGTCGTCGTCCAGGTCCTTGTCCGGGTCGTTGTCGTCGTCGTCGTTGCTGCTCCCCGGCGACTTGCTGCCGCTGTTGCAGTTGCCGCTGCTGCGGAGACGGCGACGGCCGCGGCGGACGCGCTCCCGGATCATCTGACTGCTGCGGCCCATGATCGTGGTGTTGGGACTGGCCGTGGTGAACTTCTGGAACTGAGATGTGCCGCACACGACGCGGCGCAGCAACGGCGTCGGCGGAGGTTCGGGTACCGAGAACTCGCGGTAAGCCCACCAGAACCAATGTGCGGCCTGCGCCTCTGTCCATAGTCTGGGATCTGTGGAAAAAAAACGAAAACGTTAAAAGGGATCGTGAGAGTTTGCAATGATGTATTTTGTAATTTCTGCGCAAGAGTTATAGTATAATAGGTAATAAAATATACAGCCATGATGAACATAAGGTATCCTGCAAGTTCAACCCAAGTTCGACACGTACGGTACCTAATATATTTAGGTATCCCTCTACATATTATGTGTTAATTGTTTAGTCATTGTTATTTCTCGAAAAAATGGGTTATTTATGGCTATGATTATAACCAGTAACACCTAACCACGGTTATCTCAAATAACCGTGATAGTAACAAGTAAGTATAAAATTATGTAAGAAGGCTATTTGTATTGAGATAAAAATTCAATTGTAATGTAATGTAATGTAATTATTAGCAAACAGTTATTTTTTCAGTTTTTTTATGAGCCAGTCAAAAATTGTTCACCTCCCCCCTTTTTCCCCACTCAAAAACTGAAATGACGCCACTGATGTTGTATACATATATATGTAGGATCTAAATAGTAATTGGTAATACATTACCTACCTACTTATAGAGATTTTATAATAATATAGTGTTATTAGTAATGAATATTATTTAAGTACATTACTATACTATACATAAAAATACAATATGAGAACCCTGCAGCAGACCATTTTATACATAAGACGACCTCGAACAAACAGGATAGCAGTTTTTTTATCTGGATCGAAGCTGCATTTAAAGATAAAGAATTTGATAGTTGTATGTAAAACCCCAACACTATAATGTTCCTAATCTTATCAAAATAAACGAAGTAAAAACATGATTAATAATTTAAATTATAATTAATTCACTTGATGATTATATTCTTCGTTTGACATTAAAATATTTCACCAATAATATACTAATTTAATTATTATAAATTAATTCAAAACTAAATAATAATATCTACTTCAAAAGTATATCTCATTGAACTTCAGGTTAATTAAATATATTATATATTATGATTACGCGAGAATTTATCTAGACGAATAACGAAACGAAATTGTAAATATTTGATATTATTATTATTATATTTAAAGTAATGTTTATAATCATTATATTTCTATATCACTCTATCAGTGTGTGGATGAAACAACTGGGAACGTATTTTTATTTTATAGGATGAATAATAATTGATACAATTAAAAAAAAAAGTCAAGACAAAAGCAGCTATTACCACCCCACTAATATCAATAATAATAGATATCTATATATACCTATATAGTATATATATAATTATATAAACGATATACGCTCGCAATGACCCCTCGTGATACGCATGTTCAGCCCTCTGCTACAGTGGTCCCGTCCCGTACCATTCTAGATTATTATATTATTATTATATTTTCATTATATTGACTCGCGGTGGTGGTGTCTGACGCTTCCACGATGATTTTCACATAACAAAAAACTATAATAATATGTAGCCTCCACCATCATACGCGCGGTGCGTATCGGCGCAATGGTCGTTACGCTTTCCCTCTGCATGTTATGTAAAAACGAAAATATATTATATTATAATATATATATATATATATATATATATATATATGGGTATAAATACAATAAAATTATATCAACATAGTATATAATGTGCTTATATATATATCGTTTTTAGATTCTTTATCGAATGTAATTATTATTCTAAGAAATTAAAAAAAATAAGCCCTATTCTCTTCTTGTTACTGCAGAACGAGATACACACAAGTATAATATACTTTTGTGTACATAGGTACAATAATGCTATATGTCTATATTATTTTCCGCGCCGTTTATCGGAACGACTGATGCTTGCTGGCATTATACTATGTCTTTTAAGTTTTGAGTTTCGCGGGTGTATTATATAGTGAAGGTGGCTGCAGCAGTCCTATTTGTCATAATTGTATAGTATTTGTATTACTCAGATTTACTACCTCCTGTTTAGACGTGCGTTAGGCACAATTTATAATATTATTATCCTACACTCGAAGAGGTCGAACATCCGAACTATTGATTTCGTTCGAAGACGAATGAAGACGATGGTGGAATGTTATACATTTTGAAAGTTCAATATTGGTAGTCGCGACGTTTTGTGTAAGCCGCTCACCGCGAGCCGACGCCAATTCCGCCGTGGGAACCTGCACGGACGTTATGGGGTCCGGCCAGTGTATATTATTTTTCTACAAAATTTACACTTACTCGAGTCGAGTTCACACGCTATACTCTACACGACTACGGCAATGATGATGGCGTAATTAACCATACACACACACACACACACACATTCACACCTCTTGTTTGTTTGAGCCGCACCCAATATACGAAGGCAATAATTGTCATATATATTTATACAATGTACAAACTTAAATCTATCTGTACGTTTGGTTTCAAGAGAAATCTAAAAAAAAAACCTAGTGACGTACTAGCTATGGTTTGTAGTCACACTTAGATATTATATATTATATTGTACCAACAGCACCTATTTATAATAGAATATTATGCATAATATTATCACCAACGGCGGCGGTGGCTATGACGTTGTGGGAACATCTTTAATGATATTATTATGTAATACACATTAGGCATCTACACACTTCAAATCATCGAGTTTAATTAAATGTATGTACTTCATGTTTTTAAAAATATAAAGACCGACTAATTATTGTTGTAAATCAACTAACTATATGTAACTGTATTATAGGTCATATAGGTATAGGAAAATTATAATTCAACAATGTAATTCGTTTTGTAAGTGACAGAAGAAAATGGATCATTTATATAGAGCACAATTGCATGTATTGTAATTCACGGTCCATCAACTACAAATCACTCAACCGAGAAAAATACATAAAAATAAAATCAAGTTTCGGAAAAATCGAATACAATTGAATACATTACCATGGGATAGGATATAATATTATTTTTTTAATTTTACACGATTAGACAACATATTATACTATGTCTGTAAAAACGTTCTTAATGTTAATAATATATTTTAATTTATATAAATTTGTTATTTGCGAATGATATAAAGCATGAGACACATTGACAAAATACATTTTACATAGGTAACAATGTGTTGTAAGTTATAACTTTATAATTTAAAAATATAACTTAAATATTAATATCATGTACTCCAAGTTAAAAAAAAAAAAAATTGGGAACTATTGGATCTGTTGTATATAGTAGACAGTATAATATATATATATAGTAGGATTCATGTGTACCTCGTGTAACTTGGATAGGTAATGGATAGGTACCTATAAGTTATATTTTAATTCAATAATAAATCAAATTATCAAAATCATTGTATACCTACCTACGAAAAAAACAATTCTATGGGTAGTAGATGGGTGGATCAGAAGAAAATAACAGAGGATAGCTTAAGTTATATTATTATTGAACATTTTGAATTTGGAAAGTTTTTTGTCAAAACATCAGATAAACTATTATGACAAAACTGTTATAAGTCCATATTAACGTGAAAGGGTGTGAATAGGTACGTGCAGGTAGATATATAATGTTTAAATAATTTACAATTATTCTATATATATTAAAGATTGCAAAGTGTGTAGAAGATAAAAATATATAAGTACGGTAATTATTGCAAAACATGTAAAGACTTATTAAGATTAATATTATTTGAACTACAAGAAAACTACTAAAATAATTTGAAGAAAAATAATTGTTTTTCGTTTAAACCTACCTATATCAAATTTTGACAAAATTTGAACTTCAAAGTTCAAACACTTGTTAAAGATAAATGTGTCTATACTTATATGTATCTATTTTAAACCTGTTTTTAATTGATATGGGGATATTTATGAAGAATTTTGTTACCAACCAAGTAACAAAATATAGTAAATAAAGTTTTCAAGCCAATTTTAAGATTATTTTACTACAAAATAATTTGTAAATATTCGGGATTTTGTCAAAATTTGAATTTCAAACACTTATAAAAACTTGTAATTTTATTTATTTTAGATATTTTTAATTTTCTGTAAAAAAAACCTAAGAGGAACTATATTGTAAGTTGTATCCATTTTTAACCTTCCCTATCAAGAAATAAAATTAAGTAAATCGAATAATATAGCTAAGAAAAAGTCAAACATATAGCCTAAACATGTTTAGAGGAGCACCGAGCAGCAATATTTTTAAAATCATTTCATGTCTATAAAATTCTAATCTAGTTATTTGTCGAAAAGGTCCATAGTTTCAGTGTTCATATTCCGGGTTTCCCGCTGTTTTTTGTTAGTTTTTCCAATTATTAGGTAAAATAATAGGATTTAACAATTTTTTTTAAACTCTTTAAGATAACTCTAGCTAAATAAAATTTTCTACCAAAAATCACTCTATAAAATTGAAGATTTTTGAGCTTAAAAAAATGATATTACTTACACAAAAATACATAATTCTAAAACTCCCAGAACATATTTTTTGCATCTTTCACAATCTAAAAATTTATAATAATAACCCACATAATAAAACTGTTTTATTTGAAGTAATATTTATTCAATGCCAGATAACGATTTTACGGTTGAATATATTTGTTTAAAACAATGATAAGAATAATGTATAATTGGACATTTGGTGCGTTTTAGTTAAATAAGGAAGCTAATGATATATTTACTTTTATACTTAATTAACATTTAAATACTTTGATACCTTATCTTATTTTTTCTAAGAGATATGTTCACTTTCTTTCTTTAAGATGTAAATGTTCTGTTTTGTGAGTAATATAACACAACTATTATAGTATTTATTTTATTATAATTGATTTTATTGCCTATTCAATGTAATTTCAGGGGTGTTTTATCTACATTTATAGTGTAAAACTGATAAACCTATATCAGATGCCGTAACTAACTCATTTTTTATTTTTTTCGAGTTAGGTTAGGTTAGTACTTTTGCTTAGCAGGGCAGTATAACCATCTAATGTCACAAAAAAAATCACTCTATCTTAACTATATATAATAAATTATATTACCTATTATCATAGTGCATGTTAATTAAATATTTTTTAGCGAGAAATACATTGAAATTATTAGCACTAAATATTTTTAATTCATTACCTTTTGGAACATTCAACTTATGTCGTTCTTTTTCCCAGGATGCAAATGTAGCTTGCAGGGCTTCGGTCATTTTCTTATTTGTACCAGGTGTTAGAGGCGGCGGAACCAATTGTCCACCGGCATTATTTGAGCTGTTGACGTTCACTGCTGACGGGGTTTGATCTAAAAGAAAACATTTGTATAAATCATGTATTCAAAAATTGATTATAAATTGATTATGACAATGAATATCTATAGGTAATGAGTCTTTAGATCAAGATGTTGAAATACCAGAATGATAAAGACATTCGCCTTAAAATACCATACTATTTAACTTGATTTAAAAATGTTGTGGTGAACTCACTATCATATAGGAATAATATAATTAATTTCTGTGTTGGGGTCCCAAGTAACAGAACCGTATTCTGGTATTAGCTTAACAAGCAAACGGTAAAGGGCCATCAAGGGAGACACACTATACTTAACAAAACTTAAAGTGTTCAAAGCTATGCAGTAGCTCGCTCATCTTGCATGTTAGGTTTAAGTATATAGGGCAGAAAGACAAAAACTGAACCAGTTACAGCTATAGTTATATAAAAGTAGTTAAAATAAATTGTAATTTATAACAGTAGGTAATAATAATTATTTTATTGTTATAAAATATGATAATTATTATTTTTAAATTATAATAATTTACCTCTCGTAGGTACCTATTGAACATTCTAAACATTTTAGTAATTTATTTGTATATAAGTTTTAATTGAACGGACGACCAATTTTGTTCGTTTTAAGTTTCATTCATTTTACTATTCACTCTGCTAACAATTTATAACGTTATTAAATATTAAGTAATAGGGATCGTAACGAGTCAACTACTACATAGCCACATTACTAATATTACAACAATAAATGGCAAGGTATTGTAACAAAAATTACAGCAGCAGCCTTTTTATTGGACTTTTGTTAACTAGTTAAAACTCCAACTGAATTGCTATTTACCGCAAGTAAGCATGCAACTCGCGTTGTTCATATACGAAGAAAATAATACATGTTTACTTATAATATATGGACGTAAAAATAAACATTTAAAATTATATTTGTATCGATGTTATACATTTCGTACGACTTATTTTACTTGGTTAATTTATTTTTCTAAAGTTACATATTATTATAAAATGTCATAAAGATAATCATGAATAATGGATGAATCATTTGTAATTCTAAAAACATGAACAAAACGCGTTATTGTGTTCAGTTATTAAAAATGTATATACGTCCTGCGGTCTTGTCGCATTATGATAATTATTTGAATTTTTTTTTTTAGATAAATGTGTTATTATCATTTGATTTTATTTAAATTTAAATTCAACAATTTTTATTTATTTTTCCTCTAAAAAATATGAATATAAATAAATATTTAATTAATTATACAGCGAGATACCAGCATTGCACGGGTAACCTATACTTACTATAAATGATAATGATGTGAATTACGATAAGAGAGGATTTAAGCAATGGTATAATAAAATAGAATACCTACTTCACTCTCGTACTGCAGTTGTGCAGTATCAATTTAAAGTTAATCATAACTCATGCGTCATAATAACGAAATAAGTATGTTGCGTTTCAAATGTAACATATACGGGGTGAACTATAAGTTATACTCGAGTTATTAATCAAACAAAGAATACTCATACGGGAAAATTTAACGTAGGTACAGTTGAATTGCATCCAAGCCTATATTAAATTATAATAAAATAGGTACCTACTCAGCTGAAGCACTGGCACTGCTTGGGGTGGGGATGGACCCACAATTTAAACAAATTTGGATTTCAACCATCACTATGCTATTATAATCGATAAAGATAATACAAATGTCCTCGTTAACATTGCATAATATCTACTTGTAATAATACACAGTAGGTACCTATACTGACATAAATTATATAGAAGAGAAACTATAGTCGGTAGCCTGTGCATAACACACGGCTATAATATATTATATGCATACAGAACTAAACGATTGGACCGCAAAGATGAACCAATAATGGAGGTAAATAAAGAAGGTAGGTACACTATAATAATACATATTGCTGATGTTCAATGATGATGCAATTGAGACGTGTGCAAGCGCGTGTTACCTGTCACTGCGTGATCTATCCCTTTCTCCCTGTTTCAGCTTGACAATGGATAATAGGTGTACCTATACACACTTCACATTTTCTTGTGAGACAACAATAACACGAGCGTATAATATACAAAACCCAACATATATACCTATACATCATCCATTACAATAATACGCAATTTACTTTTAGAGTAGGTAACTGTCCGTGTAAACATAAGTATTCCATTCAAACGTTTTCTCGTGTTTTTTCTTTCAGTGTATTAACGTTAATAATTATTACCGGAATTCAATGTAAACAACAAAAAAGTATATACCTATTATAATATAAGTAATAACCTTGGTTAATTATTGAGATCCTAAGCAGTTTCACGAATATGTGTAATAAAAAAAAGTGAAGCGAGTGGCCGGTAGGCACATCGTACATGTTTTTTTTTTAAATATTCTCATCATATACATCTCACACTAAGTACCTACATAAACTAAACAGGACTATAATAATAATATATACGCTTTATATAATATCATATTGTGAGAATGTGACTACCGACAGTCAATCTATATGAATTACGACGAATTCATCTGGTCATAATGTACGGCACTTCAGCACTTGTCGACGACGACGGTATATATTCAGGAGCGGCGGAGGCAGATTAAGTAATTTACAAGTAATAAATAGATGAACGAATAATGTATAGGACGATGATGCGGGTCACGACCCACACACTGTGATTAATAGATACGTACTAAGAGAAGGAAAAAAAGGTCAACGTGGATGGTTGATTAAGACATTTAAAAATATAAGTAAATAGTCCAGTGGGGTCGAGCCCGCGGGTTCTAGAGGGCAATATCACGTGTACAATAATATTATATTATAGTGTTGTTTAACAACAGAAATTGAGTAACGGCGAACCCAGATGAAAAGTTCAAGTCTACACTTCTGCTGGTAGCAACAAACCAATTCGTTTATGAATATTCCCTGCGCTATAGTTTTAGAATTTAGATTCTGAACTGTGCCGCGAGGGAGCTATTATAATAGTCTACAGTATTATCGGTTCTACAATGACGTGCATTTTTTTTATTGTCTTTTTTTTTTTGTCATCTCGTTCGGAAAAATACTTTCTGAACATTAAAATAGGTCACACAGCGTGCAGCACTTTAACAGTAATTCGATTTTTCCATCAGTTTGATTATTTATTTGGAATTTCCCAGAAGTTTTCGTGGAAATCTTAAAAAAATAACAGAAAACGGCCAAGAAATGTTAACATCACCCTTAATGAAAAAAATATAAATAAAAATATGATGTACTTCATTATTATACTTAATTTTTTGTTATAATGTTATTGTAATGAAATACATAATATATTATAAAATAAATGCTTTAATTTATACAATTAAAATGTTCGATTCTCTTGATAATTATTAAACCAAAATGTAATTAATATTTAAAATAACGAAGTACAAAAATTATCATAATAATAATTAAGTAACATTCAAAATTCTATAATAACTTGTACTGGTAGTTTTTTTTTTGGTGTTGTAAGCAAATAATTTATTATTATTATAAATGCTTAAAAATAATAAGGACATAGGTAATGCCAGAATCATAAATAAATAAAAACGTAATTCGCCTCGCTTGCTTAGCTCATTCGTTGGTGTCACCTCCAGGACGTGCATACATTACAATAATAAATAGGTAGTCGAATAGTAATGTTCACTTACAGGTCTTTAATTCCGGGTCAACATCGACATAGTCGTCATAGTCGTTGTTATACCAACGTTTATTTTTCTGAAACGGTTGCATGTGTTTATTTGGAATGGTTATATGAAATTCAGTACAGTTCGTATGTACACCTATAACGAAAGAGCTTATTTGTTAAAGACAATTTAACTGCAACTATCATATTATGACACAACAAACACGGCAAGTTTGTCAACTTTAAAAATGTTGTTTAAGTTAGAAAAAAAATACTTTAAAAATACGAATGTTTAAATAAATTTAATAATGCACAATACTATATTTAAAGGAAACATTAAATATAACAGTACAAAAACGATACAAAATTGTTTTAAAATTGTTTTTCTAGACAATTGTTGATAAGTGATAACCAAACATAAATATTATACTGTCTAAAATTAACTATGAAATAAATACTATCTTTAATTATTTTACAAGAAAAACGAAACACTGTAACAACCCTACGTAAATCATCCGATATGTACTATTAAAGTGTGGGAAAATATACCAATAATATACTCCCCTCTTATGATTAACATTTAACAACCACCTGTTTTGTATGTACGTGAAGTATAGATAGGTAAAAATAATATTAATTTGCTAGACACGGGCTTTTGCTCAGCACCCTATATTCACACGCACTAAGAGTAATTGCGTGTCGCTTGACCGCTACTAGTCAACAGGTGCTAAAGGTTAACAGAAATTATTCATTTATTGCATTAGTGCTATACCACACAACACAGTAGGTACTCGCTCGAAGGACTTTTGTGAAGTAGTCATAATACCTAATGATAATTTTTTTTCTCAAATAGTTTTTAACTTCAAAGGTCTAAGCGTATTTTTAAATCATAATTTTTCTAATTCAACGCGATTTTTATAACATACCTACATTTAATAACATATTATACTTATAACAACCGTTAAACCGTTCCTATTTATATTTTAACGCTTCGCAGTTCGCACTGTTGAATGTTGATATATATTATTTTACCACTGACATAATTTGTCAACTAGTATAATATAACATGTCATAAAATGAACTCATTGTTTAAATAACTATACAGTTTTTATGTGATAATAGTGTAAAATATTATTCTACGAATAACCGAAACTAAGAAAAAACAATTAACCAACGTAATAACTAATAACGCACAATACGTAATAGACTTATAAAATTATATAATATTTTTATGGAAAAAAAATTGTTACCTATTTTATTCTATACTGAATATTTATAGGTACCTACCTATAGTTGTTTTATATTTTGAAGTGGAAACATTATTAAATCAACTATGAACACTTTTTACCATACTTTCAAGC